CCTCAGGGAGCGATGGCAGCCCCGGGGAAGGACCCGGAACGGTCCCGGTCAGCCTCGCTCCGAGGGTCGGTGCCTCGGTGAGCCCCGCGGCTTGGTGATCTTTCAAGCGAAAATGAAGGCAAATATTGATTAGTTTTTAATTGGAGCAGGGAAAATAATTAAAAGGCGTGATTGGAACTCTGCGGAGCGCCGGCGAAGGGGTTTCCCTCCGTTCGAACAGATTATTATAGAGAAAAAAAAGGTTTTGTCTGTGTTTAAACTGCTTTTCCTCTCACTGCAGCACTCCTTTTTCCTGGGGTTACAAGGATATGCTGGGAGGGACTGGGATGGAACTGGGGGTACTGGGATGGGATTGGGATGGAACTGGGGGAAGGTGAAATTGTCCATTTTGGAACAAACCTCGCTCCCTCAGCGCCGCCTTTGCACCGCTCCGTGCCCAGGTGTCCCCCAGGTGATCCCCGGGCAGGGGAGCCCAGGTAACCCCTACCAGAGCCCCCACCCCCCTCCTCATCCTCGCTGCTCACCCAAAACTCCCCCAAATCCCCAATTTTCCCCATTCTCCGCCGGCTCCGCTGCGCGCATTGAAACTTCCCGCGCTCCCGGGCTGGGGGCGGGGTTATGCAAAACAGAAGCCAATACCGAGCGAAAGGCATGCTGGGAGCATTTTTTGGGGAAAATTTCGGGAGTTTTGGGGGTCGGATCGTGCGGGACGTGGGAGAAAAGTGCGGGATGAGCTGGAGAAAGAGGTCGGGAATGGGATGTGAAGGGTGCGAGCGCGGCGCGGGGGCTTTTGGAGAATTTTTGGGGTTTTTGGGGGGGTTTGTGGGGGGTCCCTGAGCTCCCCCTCCCCCCCAGCTCCTTGGGGGCGAAGGTGGGACCCCAGTGGGGACAACGACAAGGGCGGGGCAGGGCGAATGCAAATGAGCGGGCGGATAATTACCATAATATCCTGGAGGGGCGGAGCTTGTGCGACAAGAGGCGGGTTATGTTAATCAACAACTGGTGCGGGAGTGGGCGGAGACAATGCAAACTTGCATGCACAGTCGGCCAATCACAAAGCGGGGCGGGGAAAAGCGATGGCGGGGCTAAGAAACACCGGCAGGCGGGCGGTTGTTTGTATAAAGGGGCGGAGTTATGCAGATTTAGTGGTCCACCATGCGCGCGAACGGCATGATGGGATCATTTCTGCGGGAGAATTTCGGGATTTTTGGGGTCGGAGCATGCGGAACGCGGGAGGAAAGTGCGGGATGTGATGGAGAGAATGTTCCAGAAGGGGTCGGGAGCGGTCGGAGCGCGGCGCGGGGGCGGCCGTGAGGTGCGGGCGGGCCGGGCGGGGCCGGGAGCGGCCGCTGGGGGAATGAGCCGGTATCGCTTCTCGGCCTTTTGGCTAAGATCAAGTGTAGTATCTGTTCTTATCAGTTTAATATCTGATACGTCCTCGATGAGAGGACTTTATATTAAACGGATTTTTGGGCTCGGGAGTTGGACCCGGAGCTTGCTCCCTCCGCTCCGCGCATCGTCCCGGTATTGCAGTGCCTCCGGGAAACGGTGCACCCCCACACCGGGGACCTTTCACTGGTCAAAAATAGATTAAAAACTACAGCTACAAATAGCTGCATGTTCGTGGTTATACCGTGATATCGCCTCAGTTCAGCCATTCCCTAACCGAGCGCAACTTGCTCCTCTCTGCTGCACTCCCCGTGCCGCTATTGCAGCGCCTCCGGGAAACGATGCGCCCCTAACGGGGACCTTTTGAATGCTGAAAAATAGGTTATAAATGAAACTGACTGAAATCGTGCTTATATCGCGACATCAGCTGCGCTGCTGCTGATCGCCGCCCTTCTGCAACGCATTGATTCCCTGTCGCACTCCCCGTCCCGGTATTGCAGCGCCTCATGAACGGTGCACCCACAACGGGGACCTGAAGCGGTGAAAAATAGATCCAAAAATATCGGAAACTTCTTGAAATCCTGATTATATCGCGATATCAGCCATGGTTCTGCCGGTCGCTGTTCCTCTGCAGCTCATTCGTTCTGTGTGGCACTCACCGTGCCGCTATTGCAGCGCCTCCGGGAACGGTGCGTGCCCAACATGGACCCATATCGGTGAAAAATGGATCAGAATCAGTTAAAATCGTGATTATTACATCGCGATATCAGCCGCGCTTCTGCGGTTGCTGCCCCTCTGCAGCTCATTCGTTCTGTGTCGCACTCACCCTCCCTGGAATGCCAGCGAGCGACTAAAGCATGGCTGAAATCGCGATCGAATTCTTCTAAAAAACCCGCATTTTAGGAGGTTTTAATCTATTTTTTCACCGCTTCAGATCCCCGTTGTGGGTGCACCGTTCCTGAGGCGCTGCAATACCGGGACGGGGAGTGCGACAGGGAATCAATGCGTTGCAGAAGGGCGGCGACCAGCAGCAGCGCAGCTGATGTCGCGATATAATCACGATTTGTGTTAGTTTTAAGTGCTCTTGAGCTCCTCTTTTTCAGCATTCAAAAGTCGCCGTTAGGGGCGCACCGTTCCCGGAGGCGCTGCAATAGCGGCACATTGAGTGCAGCACACATGAGCAAGTCGCACTGGGTTAGGGAATAGCTGAACTGAGGCGATGTCACGATTATAATCACGATATTGAGACATTTCCAGCTGCATTTTTAATCTATTTTTGACCAGTGAAAGGTCCCCGGTGTGGGGGTGCACCGTTCCCGGAGGCACTGCAATACCGGGACGGATGCGCGGAGCGGAGGGAGCAAGCTCCGGGTCCAACTCCCGAGCCCAAAAATCCGTTTAATATAAAGTCCTCTCATCGAGGACGTATCAGATATTAAACTGATAAGAACAGATACTACACTTGATCTTAGCCAAAAGGCCGAGAAGCGATACCGATCATCCACCGAGCTCCCCACCCCGTCCCGCCCGGCCCGCCCGCACCTCACGGCCGCCCCCGCGCCGCGCTCCGACCGCTCCCGACCCCTTCTGGAACATTCTCTCCATCCGAACCCGCACTTTCCTCCCGTATTTCATACGTACGAACCCCGAAAATCGCGAATTATTCCCCCAATTTTTCGCTCCCATGATGCTTTTAGCGTCTCATTTGGATGCCTGTACTCATAATTTACATGACTCCACCTTCGCTCCGCCTCTCCCCACCCCCTTTCTGATCATCTTTTTTTCTCCTTCTCCGGCTCATCCCGCACTTTTCTCTCCCATTCTGCTTGCACAGATCCCCAGAAATACGGGATGACCCAGGCAGCTGAGGGGGGAAAATATTCCCTGTGAGGGGTAAAAGAGGGGGAAAATAAAAAATCCGTGAGAGTGGAAAATGGAACCTGTGAGGGGGATGAGGGTGGAAGTGGTGCCTGTGAGGGGTTTGAGGGGCAGCTGAGGGGAAAATGGAGCCTGTGAGGGGGATGAGGGGGGAAAATGGAGCCTGTGAGGGGGATGAGGGGGGAAAATGGAGCCTGTGAGGGGGATGAGGGTAGAAATGGTATCTGTGAAGGATTTGAGGGGCAGCTGAGGGCAAAATGGAGCCTGTGAGGGAGATGAGGGGGAAAAATGGAGCCTGTGAGGGAATGAGGGTAGAAATGGTATCTGTGAAGGATTTGAGGGGCAGCTGAGGGGAAAATGGAGCCTGTGAGGGGGATGAGGGTAGAAATGGTATCTGTGAAGGATTTGAGGGGCAGCTGAGGGGAAAATGGAGCCTGTGAGGGGGATGAGGGGGGAAAATGGAATGGAGCCTGTGAAGGGGATGAGGGTAGAAATGGTATCTGTGAAGGATTTGAGGAGCAGCTGAGGGCAAAATGGAGCCTGTGAGGGAGATGAGGGGGAAAAATGGAGCCTGTGAGGGGGATTGAGGGTAGAAATGGTATCTGTGAAGGATTTGAGGGGCAGCTGAAGGCAAAATGGAGCCTGTGAGGGGGATGAGGGTAGAAATGGTATCTGTGAAGGATTTGAGGGGCAGCTGAGGGCAAAATGGAGCCTGTGGGGGGACAAATGGAGTCCGTGAGGGTGATGAGGGAGGCAGTGGCGCCTGTGAGGGGTTTGAGGGGCAGCTGAGGGAAATATAGAGCCCATGGGGACAGTGAAGGGAGTAATAGAGCTCATGAGGGTGAAATGGAGCCCATGAGGGTGATGAGGGTGGAAATGGCACCTGGGAGAGGCAGTGAAGGGAAAAATGGTGACCATGAGGGGACGAATGGTGCTTATGAGGGTGAGGAGGGTGGAAATGTCACCTGTGAACAGCAGTGAAGGGGCAAAATGGTGCCCATGAGGGGCAGAAGTGGTGCCTGTGAGGGTAATGAGGGTGGAAATAGTGCCTCTGAAGGGTTTTGAGGGGCAGCTGAGGGGGAAATGGAGCCGGTGAGGGTGATGAGGATGAAATGGTGACAATGATCAAATGGATCAGGGGACAAGCGATGTCTGTGAGGGGGGTAAGGGTGGAAATGGCGCTTATGAAGGGTTTGAACGGCACCTGAGGGGGGGAAACGGTGCTCACCCGGGCTCAGACCCAGCCGCTGTCAACCAGCACTGCCAGGTCCCCTGTGGCACTGAGGGGGTCCCTGAGGGGCACCAGAAATTGGGGGGTGGGTCCCTGGAGACCTCCACCACCAGAGGGCCGCCCTGTACCCCCACAGAGCATGGGGGGGGGTCTCTACAGCCTGTATTGGCCCTGAGGGGATCCCCGTGTCCCATTTGAGAGGGGGGACACAGCCCAAACCCCCCCAGCGCCCCCCAAAAACGCGGGAGGAGAAGGTTTGTACCACCCGCGAGGGCTCTCTGGGGGCTTTTAGCAGCCTCTACGCTCTCTATGGTCCCGCCGGGGAGGACTGAACTCTATGATCCGTCTGGCCGCTCTGGCCGGCTTGGAGGTCTGAACTTAGCATTCTCCTCGCCGCTCTGGCTGGCTTGGAGGACTGAACTCTATGGTTTCGTGCCCGGCAGTGCCTTGGCCTCTCTATGATCCCGCGCCGGGATAGAGCGGCCACTTCCGGTCCCTCCTGAGGGGGGGACCCGAGCGCCAAGATGGCGCAGGCCCTGTCGGCCGAGGAGTTCCAAAGGATGCAGGTGCGGCCGGGGGGTCCCGACGGGCTCGGGGGAGACCTGGGGGGACTCCCAGGGGTTTGAGGTCCTGAGAGGGGGTCGTGGGAGAGTCATCGGGGGGTCTTAAAGGATCCTGAAGGGGCTTTTTTGGGGGATTCGGGGAGCTCGGGGAGGCTCGGGGAGGTTTGGGGGGTCCTGAGGGGCTCTGGGCGGGGGTCGAGGGGGTCCTGGGGGGCCCTGGGAGAGCTGAGGGGGGTCCTGGGGTCGGTTTTGGGGGTCTCTGGATGTGTCAGGCTGGGGGATCTCGGGGGGTTCTGGGGGTCTTTGGGGGATTTAGGAGAGACCTGGAAGGTCCTGAGGGGTCTCAAGGAACCGAGGATATTTTGGGGGGGTCTCGGGGGTCTCTTTGCTTCCCGAAACCCCCTCGGTGTCCCCCAGGCGCAGCTGCTGGAGCTGCGCACCGAGAATTACCGGCTGTCGGATGAGCTGCGCAAGAACGGCGCCGGTACGGCCTGAGGGGGGAATTTTGGGGGGGTTTTGGGGGTCCCCAGAGGTTGGGGGGGGGTCTCACAGCCCCTTCCCCTCACGGCTGTGACCCCCCAGAACTGTCGGGGCTGCGGCAGAGGGTGCAAACACTGGACAGGGACCTGGCCAAGGCCAACAAGGTGAGGAATGGACCCCCTAAAAAAAAACCCCAAATTCCTCTCGTGACCCCCTCAAAAAACCCAAATTCTCCTTTTGACCCCCCCAAAAAACCCCAAATTCTTTTTGTGACCCCTCAAAAAATCCCAAATTCCGCTCGTGACCCCTCAAAAAAAACCCCAAATCTCCTCGTGACCTCCCCAGGACCCTCCTGTGACCCCCAAAATCCCCCTGGGACCTCCCCATGACCCCAAAATTCCTCTCATTACCCCCCCTAAGACCCTCCTGGACCCCCAAATTGCCCCCAGGAGCCCCAAATACTCCCCAGGACCCCCAAATTTCCCTCAGGACCCCCAAATACTCCCCAGAATTTCCCCCCATGACCCCTCCAGGACCTTCCTGGGACCCCCAAAATCCCCCAGGACCCCCCTAGGACCTTCCCCAGACCCACAAAATCCCCCTGGGACCCCCAAATTCCTCTCCTGACCTCCCCAGGACCCCCAAATTCCCCCAGAGCCCCCCAAACCCCCCCCTGTGACCCCTCCTCTTCTTTTCCAGGCCTCAGTAAGAGCAAGAAGGCCCAGGTGGGGTCCTGAGGGGGGAATTTTGGGGTTTTTTAGGGGGATTTTGGGGCTTTCTGAGAGTTTCTAGTTGGGCTCAGGGGCATTTCTGGGGTCTCTGGGTTCATTTTTGGGGTGTCTGAGTTGATTTTTGGGGTTTCTGGGTTGATTTTTGGGGTTTTTGGGTTCGTTTTTGGGGTCCCCAGATGGGGGAGACCTGGGTGCTCCAGGGGGGTTCCTGAGTGTGGTTTTTGGGGTATTTTGGGGGTTCCTGAGGGTTTCTGGGTGGGTTTAGGGGTATTTTTGGGGTGTCTGATCCCGTTTTTGGGGTTTCTGGGTTCATTTTTGGGTTTTCTGGGTTCATTTTTGGGGTCCCCAGGAGGTGGAGGCCCTGCTGGGGGAGACCAGGATGCTCCAGGGGAAGCTGCAGAGCCAAGAGGACGATTTCCGTCTGCAGAACAGCACCTTGCTACGAGAGCTGGCCAAGGTAGACCCAAAAATCCCCAAAATCTCCCCAAAAATTCCCCCAAAATCCCCCCAGCACCTTGCTGTGGGAGCTGGCCAAGGTAAACCCCAAAAATCCCCAAAAAATCTCCCTAAAAAATCCCCAAAAATCCCAAAATTCTCCCAAAATGCCCCCAGCACCTTGCTACGAGAGCTGGCCAAGGTAACCCCCAAAAATCCCCAAAATTCTCCCCAAAATTCCCCCAAAATCCCCCCTGGAACCCCCAGCACCTTGCTGTGGGAGCTGGCCAAGGTAAACCCCAAAATCCTCAAAAATCCCCCCAAAATTCCCCCAAAATCCCCTCAGCACCTTGCTACAAAGGCTGGCCAAGGTACACCACAAAATCCCCAAAAATCTCCCCAAAATCCCCCCTGTTACCTTGCTACGAGAGCTCGCCAAGGTAACCCCAAAAATCCCCAAAAATCCCCCCAAAATTCCTCCAAAATGCCTCCAGCACCTTGCTGCGGGAGCTGGCCAAGGTAGACCCCAAAATCCCCAAAAATCTCCCTAAAAATCCCCCAAAATCCCCAAAATTCTCCCCAAAATTCCCCCAAAATCTCCCCAGCACCTTGCTGCAAGAGCTGGCCAAGGTAACCCCCAAAAATCCCCAAAAATCCCCCCCAAAATGCCCCCATAATCCCCCCAGGAACCCCAGCACCTTGCTGTGGGAGCTGGCCAAGGTAAACCCCAAAATCCCCAAAATTCTCCCCAAAATTCCCCAAAATGCCCTCAGCACCTTGCTGCGAGAGCTGGCCAAGGTAAACCCCAAAATCCCCAAAAATCTCCCTAAAAAATCCCCAAAAATCCCCAAAATTCTCCCCAAAATTCCCCCAAAATGCCCCCAGCACCTTGCTGCGAGAGCTGGCCAAGGTAAACCCCCAAAATCCCCAAAAATCTCCCCAAAATCCTCCCCAAAACCCCCAAAATCCACCCCAAAATCACCTTTTGGGACCCCCCAAAATCCACCCTAAAATCCACCCCAAAATCGACACTGGGACCCCCAAAATCCACCCCAAAATCACCTTTGGGACCCCCCAAAATCCACCCCAAAATCATCCTAAAATTGACACTGGGACCCCCAAAATCCACCCCAAATTCCACCCCAAAATCAACACCAGTTTATTCCAACACCAAAATCTTCTTCAGACCCCCCCAAAAGACACCAAAACCCCCAAAATTCCCCCCAAAATTCCCCCAAAATCCCCCAACCCCAGTGTCAATTTTGGGGTGGATTTTGGGGTTCCCCAGTGTCGATTTTGGGGTGGATTTTGGGGACCCAGTGTCAATTTAGGATTGATTTTGGGGTAGATTTTGGGGTCGATTTTTGGGTGGATTTTGGGGCTTCCAGGGCTGATTTTAGGGTTGGTTTTGGGGTGGATTTTGGGGTCCCAGAGGTGATTTTGGGGTGGATTTTGGGGCAGATTTTGGGGTCCCAATGCCGATTTTGCAGCTGATTTTTGGGGGTCCCAGAGGTGATTTTGGGGTGGACTTTGGGGTTCCACTGTTGATTTTGGGGTGGATTTTGGGGGTCCCAATGTCGATTTTGCAGCTGATTTTTGGGGGTCCCAGAATTGATTTTGGGGTGCATTTTGGGGTGGATTTTGGGGTGGATTTTGGGGGTCCCAATGCCGATTTTGCAGCTGATTTTTGGGGGGGTCCCAGAGGTGATTTTGGGGTGGATTTTGGGGGTCCCAGAATTGATTTTGGGGTGATTTTGGGGTCCCAATGCCGATTTTGCAGCTGATTTTTTGGGAGGGTCCCAGAATTGATTTTGGGGGTGGATTTTAGGGCAGATTTTGGGGTCCCAATGTCAATTTTGCAGCTGATTTTTGGGGGGGGGTCCCAGAATTGATTTTGGGATGGATTTTGGGGTTCCAGTCTCAATTTTGCAGCTGATTTTTGGGTGGATTTTGAGGGTCCCAGAGGTGATTTTGGGGTTGATTTTGGGGCAGATTTTGGGGTCCCAATGCCGATTTTGCAGCTGATTTTTGGGGGTCCCAGAATTGATTTTGTGGCTGATTTTGGGGTGGATTTTGGGGTCCCAGAATTGATTTTGGGGTGGATTTTGGGGTGGATTTTAGGGTGGATTTTGGGGTCCCAATGTCGATTTTGCAGCTGATTTTTGGGGGTCCCAGAGGTGATTTTGGGGTTGATTTAGGGTGGATTTTGGGGGTTCCAGAATTGATTTTGGGGCGGATTTTGGGGTGGATTTTGGGGTTTCCCAATGCCGATTTTGCAGCTGATTTTTGGGGGGGTCCCAGAGGTGATTTTGGGGTGGATTTTGGGGTGGATTTTAGAGCTGATTTTGGGGTCCAGTGTCATTTTTGCAGCTGATTTTTGGGGGGGGTCCCAGGGTGGATTTTGGGGTGGATTTTAGGGCAGATTTTGGTGGTCCCAATGCCGATTTTGCAGCTGATTTTTGGGGGTCCCAGAATTGATTTTGGGGTGGATTTTGGGGTTCCCCAGTGTTGATTTTGTGGCTGATTTTGGGGTGGATTTTGGGGTCCCAGTGTCAATTTTGCAGCTGATTTTTTGGGGGGTCCCAGGGTGGATTTTAGGGTGGATTTTGGGGTTCCCACTGTTGATTTTGGGGTTGAATTTGGGGGTCCCAAAGGTGATTTTGGGGTTGAATTTGGGGTGGATTTTGGGGTCCCAGTCTCAATTTTGCAGCTGATTTTTGGGGGGTCCCAGGGTGGATTTTGGGGGTTGAATTAGGGGTGGATTTTGGGGTGGATTTTGGGGTGGATTTTGGGGTCCCAATGCCGATTTTGCAGCTGATTTTTGGGGGGGTCCCAGGGTGGATTTTGGGGTGGATTTTGGGGTCCCAGTCTCAATTTTGCAGCTGATTTTTGGGGGTCCCAGAGGTGATTTTGGGGTGGATTTTGGGGTCCCAAAGGTGATTTTGGGGTGGATTTTGGGGTGGATTTTGGGGTGGATTTTGGGGTCCCAGAATTGATTTTGGGGGTGGATTTTGGGGTCCCAATGCCGATTTTGCAGCTGATTTTTGGGGGGGTCCCAGGGTTGATTTTGGGGCAGATTTTGGGGGTCCCAATGCCGATTTTGCAGCTGATTTTTTTGAGGGTCCCAGGGTGGATTTTGGGGCAGATTTTGGGGTCCCAGTCTCAATTTTGCAGCTGATTTTTGGGGTGTCCCCAGCTCTGTGCCCAGATCGAGGGGCTGGAGGAGGAAAACCGGCGGCTGCAGGAGGGGGGGGGCGGGGGAGCCCCCCGAGACCCCCCCGGGACCCCCCAAAACTCGGCCCAGCCCCCCCAGGATGGGGCTCAGGGGCAGGGGGGGGCCCCCGAAGGTGAGGGGGGATTTTGGGGGGGAATTCGAGATTTTGGGGGGATTTTGGGGGGTCCCGGGGGGGTTTGGGGGGGTCCTGAAGGATTTGGGGGATTTGGGGGGGGGGCTCTGAGAATTTTGGGGGGCAATTTTGGGGGGTCCTGAAGGATTTGGGGGATTTTGGGGGGGTTCCTGGAGTAATTTTGGGGGGGAATTTGAGAATTTGGGGGGATTTTGGGGGGGAATTCGAGATTTTGGGGGGGTCCTGAAAGATTTGGGGGATTTGGGGGGGCTCTGAAAATTCTGGGGGGGAATTCGAGATTTTGGGGGGTCCTGAAAGATTTGGGGGATTTTGGGGGGGTTCCTGGAGTGATTTTGGGGGGGAATTCGAGATTTTGGGGGGTCCTGGGAGGGTTTGGGGGGTCCTGAAAGATTTGGGGGATTTGGGGGGGGGGGCTCTGAGAATTTTGGGGGGGGAATTCGAGATTTTTGGGGGGATTTTGGGGGGCTATGAGAATTTTGGGGGGATCCTGGAGTGATTTTGGGGGGAATTTGAGAATTTTGGGGAGGTTTTGGGGGGCTCTGAGAATTTTGGGGAGAATTCAAGAATTTGGGGGGGGGATTTTGGGGGGTCCTGAAGGATTTGGGGGATTTTGGGGGGGTTCCTGGAGTGATTTTGGGGGGGAATTCGAGAATTTGGGGGGGGATTTTGGGGGGGATTTTGGGGAGGGTCCTGAGAATTTGGGGGAGATTTTGGGGGGATCCTGGCAAAGGTTTGGGGGGGATTTGGGACCTCCCAGAATTTGGGGGAATTTTGGGGGGGCCTGGGGAGAATTTTGGGGAAGGGATCCCAGATTTTGGGGGGCATTTTGGGGGGGGATTTGGGGGGACCCTGGGCAGAACTTGGGGGGAGGTCCCAGAATTTGGGGGGGATTTTGGGGGGGTCCTGTGGGATTTTTGGGGGGGGGTTCTAGGGACAATTTGGGGGGGGGGGTCCCAGATTTTGGGGGGGGATTTTTTGGGGGGGATCCTGGGGAGAATTTTTGGGGGGGGGTCTCAGAATTTGGAGGGTCTGGGGGGGATTTTGGGGGGTTCCTGGGGGATTTTTGGGGGGGGTCCTGGGGAGAATTTGGGGGTGGGGGTCCCAGATTTTGGGGGGGATTTTGGGGGGGGATTTTGGGGGTTTTTGGGGGGGTCCTGGGCAGAATTTGGGGAAGGGATCCCAGATTTTGGGGGGGTCCTGGGGAGAATTTTCTGGGGTTCCCAGAATTTGGGGGGGATTTTTGGGGGGGGGTGGGGGAGATTTTGGGGGGGGAGTTTGGGGGATTTGGGGGGTCCTGGGGAGAATTTGGGGAAGGGGGTCCCAGAATTTGGGGGGGATTTTGGGGGGGGATTTTGGGGGGGTCCTGGGGAGAATTTTGGGGAAGGGATCCCAGAATTTGGGGGGATTTTGGGGGGGTCCTGTGGGATTTTTGGGGGGGGGGGTTCTAGGGACAATTTGGGGGGGGGGGTCCCAGATTTTGGGGGGGATTTTTTGGGGGGGATCCTGGGGAGAATTTGGGGAAGGGGGTCCCAGAATTTGGGGATGATTTTGGGGGGGTCCTGGGGAGAATTTGGGGAAGGGGGTCCCAGAATTTGGGGGGGATTTTGGGGGGGTTTTGGGGGGGGTTTGGGGATTTGGGGGGGTCCTGGGGAGAATTTGGGGGGGTCTGAGGGGGATTTTTGGGGGGGGACTCCTGGGGAGAATTTGGGGGGGGGTCCCAGAATTTTGGGGGGCTCTGGGGGGGATTTTTGGGGGGGAGTCCTGGGAGAATTTGGGGGGAAGGTGGTCCCAGAATTTGGGTGGGATTTTGGGGAAGGGATCCCAGAATTTGGGGGGCTCTGGGGGGGATTTTTGGGGGGGGGTCCTGGGCAGAATTTGGGGTGGGGGTCCCAGAATTTGGGGGCATTTTGGGGGGGGATTTTTGGGGGGGGTCCTGGGACAATTTTGGGCAGGGATCCCAGAATTTTTGGGGTGGTCTGGGGTGAGAATTTTGGAGTGTAGGGGGGGGAAGTTCTGAGAGATTCCAAATTTGGGGTTCCCAAAATTCTGGGGGGGATTTTGGGGGTCCTGGATGGGATTTTTGGGGTGGGGGAGGGGTCTCTGATACCCCTCCCCTCCCCCACCCCCACCCAGAGCCCCCCCAAAAAGACAAAGAAGAGGAGGGGGGAGGGGGGGACGCCCCCTCCAGGGACCCCCCCAGCACCCCCTGATCAGGTAGGGGGGATTTGGGGGAATTTTGGGGGATTTTGGGGATTTTGGGGGATTTGGGGGAATTTTGGAGGATTTGGGGGATTTTGGGCAATTTTGGGGGATTTTGGGGGATTTTGGGGCAATTTTGGGGATTTGGGGGAATTTTTGGGGGATTTTGGGGCAATTTTGGGGCAATTTTGGTGTTTTTTGGGGGGGGTCTCAAGAGGATTTTGGAATAAATTTGGGGGATTTTTTTGGGGGGGAATTTGGGGATTTTTTGGGGGAAATTTGAGATTTTTTGAGGAGGAAATCTGGGATTTTGGGGGGGAATTTGGGATTTTTTTAGGGTGGGAATTTTGGATTTTTTTCGGGGGAAATTTGGGATTTTTTCAGGGGGAATTTGGGATTTTTCGGGGGAAAAATTCAGGATTTTTTGGAGGGAAAATTTGGGGGAAATTTGGGGGGCAATTTGGGATTTTCGGGGGGAAGTTTGGATTTTTTTTTTCGGGGGGAAATTGGGGACTTTTTGGGGGAAATTTGGGGATTTTCAGGGGGAAATTTGGGATTTTTCGGGGGGAATTTGGAGGTTTTTGGGGGGAAATTTGGGATTTTTTGGGGGGAATTTTGGATTTTTTTGGGGAGAAATTTGGGATTTTTTAGGGTGGAAATTTGGGATTTTTTTAGGGTGGAAATTTGGGATTTTTTTAGGGTGGAAATTTGGGATTTTTCGGGGGAAAAATTTGGGATTTTTTGGGGGGAATTTGGGATTTTTCGGGTGGAAATTTGGAGATTTTTCGGGGGGGGAAATTTGGGATTTTTCGGGGGGAATTTTGGATTTTTTTGGGAGAGTTTTGGGATTTTCGGGGGGGGAAATTGTGATTTTTTTTGGGGAAATTTGGATTTTTTCAGGGGGAATTTGGGATT